TCCCATTGGGGGTAGGCAGAGACTATGGAACGCCAATTGCTACGATTCCTACATACCTCTTACGCTTTATCAACAGTCATCAATCTTTTCATGCAAGATTGAGTTGTCGTTGGTTAAGGGTACTTTTAATTTGGTCCTTCTTTAATATATCGGCAATCTGGTCAGTTTTCAAATCAATATATCACCGAAAGTATTTGTTTTAGTTAGAAAATAAAACATACGTGTAAATTTTTATTTAAATTTCTACCAGACAGTATTGACTGTCTTTTTTTGTTTTGAATTTTTTGAAATTAAAAATTTGCCATCTACCCTATTGCGCCTGGTGTATCATAATAGGCATACACCACGGGAGTTGTAAAACTATTGGAAAAAAGGCAGGCGCAGTTTTGGCTCAGGAACTTATTTATTTATTATTTATTTATTTATTTATTTGTTCATGTACACAACACAGACAATACACAGAAAAAAATATATATTATAATAAATCAGAGGTACATAGGTACTGCATATCCCTTATGGGATTTCTTCCTGCAGCCCTGCGAAAGGAGAAATAAATACAACATATGACACAGTGTGTAACAACAAAAAAAAAACAAACAAGAAGAAGACAATGAAAACTTAAACTGATAATTAAAATTAGACTAACCAAAATAATACAATAAAAACATACAAAATAAATATAAATAAGTATCTATTTACATACATATAGGTCCAACATATACATACAATATGTAAATAATATATAATACTTAGGTATATAATACTTATATACTTATATAATACTTACTTATTTAATAGAGAGCAGCGATATCTGATAAACGTGATACATTTAACCCATGATATGCCGGGAGCGTAGATATACCCGAGACACAATGTGTTTCTATTGTGGAGGTTCTATAAGAGGTTAAACTGTAAATTTCAGCCACCTACTAATAGGGTAGACGACTAATTTTTATTTTAATGCCCGTCTGGTAGATTATTTAAAAACATTAGACACGTATTTTTTATTTTCTTACGGAAACGAACAGTTTCGAAGATATATTGATTTGAAATGTCGCGTGACGTCACTTCTCAGTACATTTTATACTAAGAAATGACGTTTTAGCCCCCACTCCTAAACTTTGATTCGTTTTATCTAAGTATTGTTTAATTATACAACAAAAAAAAAAAATACGTGTCTAATATTTTTTTATTACCTAAGTGACGGACTAATTATATTTTTAATTTTCATACCCTGTCATCATCCCCATTGTGAACTTAATGACAAACCCACCTTCTGTAGAAGAAGTTATGAGTCCTGTACCTACAGTCTGATTTTATTGGACAAGAATTTGGTTTTTGATATTAACAAAATAATAACATATTAAGTATTTCCTCTTTATAATATTGGTGCAGGTGTAGACAATTTTAACTTCTAAATCCACGATTACGAAAAATATACATTTTTTCAAATAGAAGTAGTCTGTAAATAACGGAAATAAGGTCTATAATAGAGTAAGTGGAGAGTTTGTTCACGTTTGTTTGACGAGGCCATATTAGAGGCTCATCTTCATGAGCAGCATTCCGGCGGCGACAATCGCGCTGCTACTGACTGTAATTATGTTTTATGTTTTATTTATTTGGACTCCCAACAAAAGATACACTTACATGCAAAAAAATAATCCACCACACGTTACAATAACCTTGTGATCCTTCAATTAAAGGGAATTACATCATGCCCATACAAACATTTATAGCAATTGAATGAAATTAGATTAAATTAAATTACAGAAATGTCAAGAAAATACAAAAGAAATACAATAACAAAAATCCAAATCATAACATAACAATGCAAAACAAGTCAAGTAAAAAAAATTATTAAACATAAACAATTTTGGATGAACAATTCATAAAATAAGGTCTATTTAAAATTAGAAATTAAATGAAATAATCTTTGTATATAATCCTAAAGGTAATTAAAAGTTCCAATATTAGACATCAAATAGTCAAATAATCACATCTAATCCAATGAGATCAAAAATACCCACTCACTAGTTAATGTCAATAGTTAGAATAACAATATGAAATGTCTTCGCTTGCCTAAACTATATGAAATAACTTAAATAACTTAAATATAATTTAAATGTAATTATGCTAGAATAGACTGCACAAGAAAAACTAAATATAGATATAACAAATGAACACTGATACCATGACTTTAATCTGTAACTTGTGATTTGCTAATTAAACTGTCAAACACCAAGCGGTCACCGGTGACCGCAACCTATTGTTCTATAATTGTGTCTACAAAACCGGTACTCGACGAGTTAAATCAAATTGAATCAAATTGTTAAATAATTGCGTTAGTAAGCAAAAAACCATAATAATCTAGTATGTTTCACGAAAGTTATAACATATATACATTTCACCCTGCACCTCATTTTAATAAGAACATCCAAGATCTTACGAGGTAACAATTCACAGTACTGCAATTTGCACAGCAAAACACAAGCACTCTGATAGTGTCACTAATATAGATATACGTGATGATATCGTATGAACTTGCGCAGTATTAGAACAACTTGCTCCGAGTGAGATATTAAACTTAAGCATCGGTATATAGAGCAAATGAGTTTAGTGCTGTGCATAATAATATTGTTACAGATTATCTAAGTGAGGTAAAATAGTAATGCATTTGTCTACAACTCAAGTCTCTCAGTATGTATCCCAAGAATATACAAGTGAAACAAGTGAATTTATTTCTGCAAATAGGCTACAAGGCAGCACTTTTACACGTCAATTTTATCAAGCGAACGATGAGGTCGACATTTCCTAACTGACTACTCTGAGAAGAAATGCCGAAACAAACTCAGAGGTCTGTCTCTTTTAAAGTCCAGACAATATGTATAAAAGATTATGTGTGAGAATCGTGCAAGTTCTTTCTGTAGTGGCCTATAAATACATAATAGATATTTATTTCCATTTCGTTCACATATACTTAATCTATGCTTGTTAGTTAATTCTATATTAATAAAGATACACATATACATAACATCACGCCTTTTATCCCCGAAGGGGTAGCCACAGGTGCACATTACGGCATTCAATGCCGCTGTACTACGTAACACCCACTTTTTACTATTTATGTTATGAGTCCCATGTAATAGGGGGTGAGGCTATTATCATATACCAGGAACAATTCCAGACTCCGTGCTACTACTGAGATTTTAAAAACCCAGTAATACTTTGCCCGGGAATCGAACCCGAAAGCCCAAAGTCAAAGCATTTATTTCAATTAAACCATAAATTGTTGGTGCACGCGCCACAAAGAGCTATCAGACTACCACAGATGGGGCCCAACAGGGTTGTTGCCCGCGCCATGGGCCCCTATGGGGCCTCAGAAGACCTAACGGGTTACCGGGGCTTCGGTTCGAAGAGCAGGAGTAGGCACGGGGTGGCTTTTAGCCAGTATGAATCTGACACTCCCTCTCACCTAACCCAAGGCGGGAGAAGTCATTGGATGATTATCACCCTCAAAAATCAATGGGTAGGCAGAAGTGCACATTACAGCACTTAATGCCACAGTACAATGACAAAAACAAACATTCAAATAAATTGAAAACAGAACTAGAAAGAGAAATCTTCGTTGGGTTCTATAATCATCAAAATAAAAAAGGCGAAAGTCGGACACTTTTTCATTTCCCCAGCGCTTCCACAGTAAAATCAAGAAACTTTATTTGGATGGCTGATGTATATACTTAGGTCATAAAATGAACCTAAACCAAGTACTAAAATAAGAGTAAGTTCATGAAACTAAATCCACTATTTTCAGAGCTAAGCCCCACAACAAAATCTAGTGAAAGCATTGTCTGAAATTCTTTAGTAATATTGTAAATGTGTATTCGTTTGTCTACTTGAAAAATGTATGAGCTGGTTGTAATTCTTTGTGGTGTTTTTAATGTTTGAGTAATTTCGGTTACAATTTGAGTGGGGCCGCGTTTAAAAATAGTCTATTGTAATATCATAAATACAACCAAAAATATTCTGTAAAAAACTAGCCAAGTCTTGGTGGAGCTGCTCGTTCATCTCTAAATAGTAATGAAATCTAGACAAAGTCGTGCCAAGGCTAAGGTTCCTTACTGCGATTACTTTATTAACTAGTATAGTTAATATTGTGGGACTTGGCCGTTGAAGGGTTCATAAGGGTGCAAAAGCAGATGCAAGACACCAAGCACTGCCGTGCACCCAGATCATTGTTTGGTTAAAAAACATCGTATCCTGCCATTACCCTGTCTCTATAAACTCGAGGTCTCAATTAAATAGTGTAACCAATAGAAATAGTAGATTCCCTAACAAATTATCTGTACCGAGTCAATGCACCACACTATACAGTCAAAATGTATACTGCATCAAAATTCATAATAGGTTTCCAAATGACCTAAAAAAATTACCTTAACGTCATTCAAAACAAAATTATTTAAGTTTGTGTTAAATAAGTGCTCAACTAAAGATTTTCTCGATGAGAAAGATTGCAAAAATATTGTTGTGGAATAGTACTTAAGTATATTAGAAGAAAATAAGTGTAATATTTGTACACCGATTCGGTAGAATGTATGAGACATTAATTAAGACAAAACACCTATTGTAACTACACATTTTTCTTTCTTTCTTTACATTTATTAAAATAACGGGAATAAATATTAATTTATAGAATGAACACTGAGTACTGCTGTGGTTTTTTATACATGTATACATAAACAGTAAAATTTTATGCCGTACTCTGTCTAAACAATAATACAAGATAACACACTCTCTATCCTATATTTGTACCATATGCTAATCTATCTTACTTTATATTTACTGAATTTACTTTATCTTCCCCTTTCCCTTTATTACGCCCGCCTTTTTCTAGTAAACTTATTTATTCTGTTGAATTCGAGTTTATATCGCAGACTCGAAACCTCATTCGAAACTAATAAAATTCCTGTGAAAATAAAAGAACTTTTACTCTTTTGTTACAGATGGATATTTCGCTTCTCATATCCCTATCTATAACAAGAAGGTGGGTTAGAGTGAGGTTGGACATAATATTAGAATATCATCATCGAGAACTATCGAGCTCATGAAAACGAACATGGATAAGAGTATAAAGAAGAAGAACCACTCTAATGGGAAATACAAGAAGAATGGTAAAGAGAACTACAGGATTGACGATGACGTCATCACGACGTGTTGCCTCTGCGTTAAAACTAAGAAGAGTAAAAAGAAGAGCTTCATAGCTGGCTGTGTGACCAACCTTGGTATCTTCACTTTGCTCCTGGCTTATACATTGGTTGGGGCTTTCATCTTCCTAGCTATTGAAGGTGGTGCGGCCAAGATACATCAGAAAACTCTTGCTACAACTTCATACCAGGCTTCTGAAAGCCAAAAAACAGTTCCTCTGTCAAAATTAAATGGGACTATAAGTCAAGCCAGTGCCGAACTGAGGTCACAGACGGTGGAAAGCATTTGGGAGATCACAGTGTCTTTGAACATTTTGTATAAGGAGAACTGGACTAGGTTGGCAGCTCAGGAGATTGCCAGGTTCCAAGAGAAGTTGGTGGCAAGGGTAGCCGCTGATGTTTCCGCACAATATGGTGGTGCAAGGGCCTTGGAGTCAGCTCCTGCGTTGGTCGTTGATGACTACGAGTGGAACTTTGCGAAAGCATTCCTGTATTCTCTGACTGTTCTCACTACTATCGGTAAGACAGTTGTTATTGATCTATTTTTCTTCTTGCAATACAGAGTAACAAGCTATTGGCAAATAATAATATTCCTATTAGCCTTACTGCAGTGCAAGCTGGAAAACATTGATAAATACAGTTAGTTCAATATTTGCTTAAACAGAATGAGTAAACATTAATGTAAGTTACATAAAACTCGTTACTTATTTTTACTGACTGCCTCATTGGTCGAGTGGTTGCCAGACGACTGCCGGGCAAGGTGTCTCGGGTTCGATTCCCAGGTCGGGCAAAGTAAGTAAGTAGGTTTTTTAAGAAAAATCCCAATAGTAGCACAAAGCCTGGAATCGTAACTGGTATATGGTAATAGGTTCACTCGCTATAACATAAGACTCAAAATATAAATAATGAAAAGTGGGTGTCTGCCTCTGCCTACCCCTTCGGGGATAAAAGGCATGATAGCAAGTTTTCTGTGAAAATAAAAAGAAAATTAACCGAGGAATTGCTTAAACATATTACTACTACTACCATATTAGCGTTATCTGTAGTCTGTAATGAAAAAATCTAAGTATATTTTTGTTCACAGGTTACGGGAGCGTTGCACCTAGGACAGCACTAGGAAAAGCGGTCACCATAGGGTATGCAGTTATAGGTATACCTCTAACACTTTTATACCTGTCTGTGGTAGGAGCATTGCTATCACGACTAGCCAGGAGCGTCTTCAGCAGAGCACTATGTTGCTGTCTCTGCACAAAATGCGGCTACTGTTGCCTCGACGAGAGGACAATGACTAGCAAAGAAAGAAAGGAAAAAGTTAGAAGACAAGATGATTTCAGACATCAGACCTTGCATCTACAGGAACCTTATTACGTCAGATCTCCATCTGGGACCATTATATCTGCGTCACAAGCACACAGCGTCAGCACAAACTCAATCAAAGACAAAACTCAAGGACTAAGCTTTCTAAGAGATTGTGACTCCATGAGTTGCACCGATACAGACTCCAAAGTATCCTTACGAGGATTTTCAATCTTAGCTCCTATTGCGTTATGCTTAGCGGCAATTTTTACTTACATCTTCTTTGGAGCTCTGGTTCTTTATCAGTTAGAAGGATGGAGTCCTATCGATGGAGTTTATTTCTGCTTTATGAGTCTCAGCACGATTGGTTTCGGACACTTAGCTCCTGGTGCGACACAGAAGAACGGTGCATCATCAGGTACCGTGTGGTTTTGCTCAATTTATATCATGACTGGCCTAGCACTCACTGCAATGTGTTTCAATGTTCTACACGACGAGATTGTTCATCGGTTGAGGCACCATGAAAAGGTTTTGAAAGCGAACAATCAGAAGGTTTTAACATCAGAATTCCTTCATAGATCTTGACGAGACGAAAGCGGGAACTTGACTGATGACACAGTGATGCATTCAGATGGAGAATCACTGCCTGAAGTCCTGCACCACGTCTCAAATGCTCGGTTCGAAGGAGGAGCAATAAGGCGAACAGTGTATACCTTGAAAGAAGTTAAAGAGCCGGAGAGAGTGACTCCTATGTGAGACTAAGTGGGCACCTGATTACGTTCCCGATTTTATAGCACATGATAATTTTAATGCCATTGTAGTATCCAGGATTTGATACAGTCTTAACGAAGAGTTAAGTAAAGAAATGACTGAACTTATGCGTTAATTATTTTTATTAGTTTAGATTTGATGATTAGGGATTTAATAGGATCGTATACCTTGTGTTTTATAATAATTATTGTAAGAGTAATTACTGAAATGTAAAACTAGAAGTAAAGTTATAAGGATATAAAGTTTTTTGTACGTAGATTATTTATTATACATTAGGAACTTTGAGTGGTTTGATGATATTGTTGTACGGATAGAGATACGGTCATATGCCAAATTATACTTTACTATATGTATGTTAATGATAGTTTATATCTAATGCGTATCATATAAAACTAAATTATATGAGACAGTTGTGAAACGACTGTTCAACTGTTTGTTGAGGCTGCCTTGAGGTGAGCTGTTGTTTAGTTTTTAGGCTTTCTCTCAACTTGGTTGGGTAGGCAGATAGTGTGAACTAAATTCAAAATAATGTTTAAGTTAAAAACTGCCACGTCATTATCATCATCAACAACCTATAAGTGGCCACTGCTGACCAAAAGCCTCTTCTCACACGGAAAAGGTTTGAGCATTGATCACTACGTTTGCTCGACGCGAGTTAGTGTTTTAAAACCAATAATTAAAAATTATAAGCCCAGGTTTGCTAAGCACTGGACATTATTATGTACATTATTATGTCCAGTGCCCTATTGGGTAGATGACTAATTTGTCCGTCTGGTAGATTTATTTTAAAACATTACACACGTATTTGTTATTTATTTTACAGAAACGAATACTTTCGACGATATATTGATTTGAAATGTCGCGCGACGTCACTTCTATGTACATTTTATACGTAGAAATGACATTTCACAATCATAGCCTCCACTCCTAAACTTTGATTTGTTATATCTAAGTATCATTTTATTATAGAAGAAAATAAAAAAATACGTGTCTAATATTTTTTAATTACCCTTTCATCATTCTTATTCCAAAGACTCAATAGAATGATTTAAACTCTCCTACCAATTTTGCTGTAACCGACAGCGTCCGTATTTTTTACTATTGTATTTTCAAACCACCTGTATGTGTACACTATGGATGCAATAACTACTTGATTACTTAATTAATTATTATGTTTTCGGCTTACTC